GACTATATAGTGAGACCCTGTCGCACACACAAAAAGACTCAAGAGAAAGACATATTAGGAAGTCCTGTACATGAGAACCTCACGCAGAATACATTGTCTCAGCTATTTGGAACCTCCCCTCCCATAAAAAAAAAAAAACTATCACCAATTTCCAAAAAGCTAACATCAGAAAATACTTATGAAAGTACACAGTTTACTAAATTCCATAAAAACAGATCTGGTATGCTATAAAAGTAAAAATATCTCAAGTGCTTCTAGTGGAAACTTGTCTAATGTGTACATTGTGTAGAAGAGGGGATAAAGAAGAAAAAATGTAGGGGACTTTGCTGTGGGCTATTTAACAATACTGTGAACCTTTACCTAAAGTTAAGCCTGCTTCTCAAGGCTCAGATGTGCTAATGGGTACCACATCTTTAAAAGCGAATCCTAATCTACAGCTATGTTCTTTTCATCTGAAATCTAATGTTACACTATACACCAACTATATTTTGCTGTATTATGTCAAGCTGGCCCAGGGGCAGAGGTGTGTGGATTTCTGAAAAGGTGGAATTACATTTTCCTCCCTTTTTTACATTAAGTTTACATAGCTAGAGATAACACAAGTGGAGTTTTGTTTGTACAAAAGCAAATACTCTTCCCTTTAGCTCTTTGTGTTTTCTGTATCATTAGTGACACTTTTGCTCCTAGCTGTTCAATCTAAATTTTTGACTCTTTGTACCTCTGGCTCTCTCTCCTTTGGCTTCTGTATCCAATTAACTGGGAGGTCCAGACAATGGTCTCTCTGCAGTGTGAGCTGACACCTGCTCTCCTTTTAAGATGGGTTTAAGCATCATCACCTCCTCTAGGAATCTCTGTTGAACCTCAAAACCTGGTTGGTTTCTCTCTTTGATATTTCTGGAGTGCGTTGTGGATATCCATTTTATCATTGAACTTGCCATATTTTGTTACTCTGATTGGCAATAATAACCTCCTAGGTCAGTGGTTCCCAGATTTTACAACATATTAGAATAATCAGTACTTAATTAAAAACCAACTAAATCAGAATATCTGGAGAGGTGAGAATCAGGCAAAATATGTTTTAAAGCAGAATTTTTCAAATTTTAGTGTACAAACAATTTGACTGGAGACCTGGTTAAAATGTACATTTGATTTAATAAGATCTGGGTGGGGCTCGAGATTCTGAATTTCCAACAAGCTCTGCTTTTATGCTTAAGCAGCTCAAAGTTGCCCCAACAAGCCATGCAGTTTAGAAGAAAGTCACCACATCTTTACCTGGATCATCACGTTTATATCCTAAGCTCACCTGACACAGGACGACTTCTTCCTATTCATTACCCCAACTATCACTATCATTTCAGGTGAATGGAATTATGGAAATTTTCTCATAAATCAAAATTTTGTTCACTGATACTTCAGTTATAATTGCTATTCACCACTTTTAGTCTTAGGGATATTCTTCCCAGCCTCTGCTTTGTTCTCATTTCTTCATTCATCTCACTGGCAATAGGACACAGCAGAGGCTGAGGAACATGAAGACAGGAAGAAGAGGATGGTCCCACTGCTGTTGCTTATGTTTCATTTAAGGTCTGATCTTGCCTGCTCACACCAGTTCTTCTATAGCCACTCCACTTTGGCTCTTGTGACTTCCTGCTCATTTTCTTCTGCTTGTATCTGTAAGTCCTTTTTTTCCCACTTTGATTCTTACCTTTTTCCTTGCTCCAACACTGTCTCTGTGATTTGCTCCAAGTTAATTTGAACAAATCAACACAAATATAAATAGAAACAATTGTTAATAATATAATAATTTTCTTTTACAATAAGTATTTGTATTCAACAGCATTACTTTTTCTCAGTTAACACCTCCTCTCCTTCATGTACAGATCAATCTTTTCAGCTTTAGACAACCATGTTAGGCTGAGTAATTAAACTTAGTAGGGTTAATGGCTCTATTGAAGGTTCTTTAAGTCTTCATACACCATTATATGCCAACCTAGCTACAGTGCCATGGCTCTCCGAGTGTGTGCTGAGGCAGCCTGGGGTGCATCAGGAAACTCACTAGGAAATATTTTGACATTTCAGGGGACATACAGCAACATGTGACCTCTCAGCCACCATGGGAATTACTAGATCAAGGGAGTTCACAGATTGTTCAGTAGGTGGTGCTGTACTCCTTTTGATGGTGTCATACAATGTGTTCCATAGTGGTTGAGACAAAAACCACTAGTGCAAAAATCAGCGTGGAAAAGGAAACAAGGGAGACAGTGTCCAATCTGATTGAGAATTTGTGCAATTCCCAAGAGATGTACATATGCCATTGTAAGTTAAGAGTGAAATAAAAATGTTTTTTTCCCTGTCAGTTTATGTGTATTATTTTTTCAAATGGTTAGTAAGTTGTTAGAACAGAAATACTTATTGTTTGACCTTAACTGGTTAACTTAACTTTGGATCATTAGGTATTACTTTTAGCCTAAGGCCACTATTAAGAAGAGCTCTGTGAACTGAGAAAACTTTGGCTCTAGTCCAATCTTTCTTTTTTTCACCAAAAGTTTCCTAACATGTGCTTCTAGGTAATCACACCAGGTATCTACTTCCAATAAATCAAAGATGGATCAACTTATTGCCACAAATGAGGCATAGCTCCCCATTCTCTCCTTCTTTTTCTAAAATTTATTTTTTTTTTCCATTTTTAATTATAGTAAAAATGTTTCCCTGTTGATATCACATAACTTCAAAGGCAGATTTGGAAAGATGCTATATTGACTGTTCAAAACGTCTCTCACATGTCTCATGCAGCAATGTTAGTGGCTACGACAACCTCAGTTATTACCTTTGATCTTTTTTTTTCTCCACCTGATATTCTCTCACATGTTATAACTTTTAAGGAGGAGAGAGAGGGGCAAGAGGGATAGGGAAATTTATCTGGAAGCCAATAAAATATGCAAATTCAACAAATCTAGTTGAAGATGTGATTAAGAAGGGATTTTGCCATTATTCTCTACACTTTCTACCCATTGAGATTTGTTAATCAGTCCATTATATACATTCTGCATTGGTATAAAAGGCAACATTCCACTTCAGTGCATTGTGTGTAGCTTTGACAGATCATAATAGGATGGAGTTTTCACCAGAAACCATAACTTCTTCATGCATCCACTATGTGCCAGTCACTCAGGCCTGCCTCATTTAAACTACCCTGCAACTCCACAGGCAGGATTGCTGTGTGCATTCTCTAGATGAAGAAACTGAAGCATGGAGAGGATCCTAACCCACCCCGGGTTGACACGACTGGCAACTGGCAGCGCAGTGATGCATTCTTGGATCTGCTTGAGTTCCCAGCTTGAAACTTTTCCCTGTGGCAATTTTACCTCTTTCAATTATAATTGTAAAACTGATTTTTAGGAGGTTTTACCCACTGTAGCTTCAACTTCTAATATTCTGAAATATCCTGGACCGTGATATTGTTGATGTAAAATGGCATCACAACTTTAGAAGAAAAGCAGAAAGGAAGAAAGCAGGTGGCAGGGAATCCATCATTTAGATGAAACACTTTAAAAAACTTAATCCTCTATGGCAATAATGTTATTTGTGTTATAAAAAGTGCCTTAAAAATTTAAAGAGCTTAATAACTAACCCTCACCTTTTTAACATAGCGTTATTCAAATTTTACAAAAGAAATGAAGTACAAGTAAGTGAACTGCCTTTCCTCAGAAGTCCTGCAGCATGTGGGTTTCACAGCAAATTCATGGCTAGATCCTTGGGGATCTGTGTTGATGTTCACCCTTTCACTGAATACTTCCTTTCCTACTTTATTCCACATTAATAATTCACTTCACTGGAACATTGCCTGGTTACCTCAGTCTAAGCCACGGTTGGCTTTCCTTCATTTATAGTGGTAAATACTTAAAGAGAATATTTGCACACAATTATTCAGAGATATTTGATCACACATTGAAGTGTAACATACAACCCTTGCAAGGTGCAAATTTTGTGTTATTTGCATGATATCTCAATGTCAGTGTTTTAAAATCATTGCTGTAATCATAAATGAAAACATTTCACCATCTATATTTTTATGTGATAATTATTTATCAGTACCACCTTACGAAACGTAGAATCTACAAGATACAACCCAGTATCCCTGACTTTTCTTTTACATATTTGCAGGATGCAGACACCCTGCAACAAAAAGGTAGCTGATGACACAATTTCAGTGACACTCACGATGACAGTCGAGCCAAGCTGCTTCTCTGACTCACATCCAGGAATTTGCAAGGGCTGGAATAAGCTTCCCTTCTCGCTCTATTTTCTAAAGTCAACAAAATGGTCAGATGCTATTTAGAAATAGCACTTTTTACATAACCATTTTTTCTCCTTTGTCAACCTTGCTACCATTAAGTTATAAATTATAAGTTTAAGTAATTAAAATGCTCACTTCTTGTCAATTATCTGAGATAAGATGAACCAGCAGCAGCAATCACCACATCTAACCCACAGGGATGGGCTCTACCAACAAAAGCCTTCTTTTGGTCTGAGAGCGGAAGTCATCATAGGTAGCAGGGTAAAGAAATAGTTAATTTGAATTTGGCCAAAGGACTCAAGCTCAAAATGTTTGCTTTCAGAGTGAGAAAAAGGAACTTTCCTTTTCTTACAGCATAATTGCTCTATTTTTAATACACCCTACTTTATAGAATAGCTGGACCCCACTTTCAAGCTAATGTAAAAATTAAGGGATTTATGATAATCCTATGCAGATGGTTGTGGGCGTTTCACTTTTCCACTGGAGCATTTTTCTCTTTCTTTGTTGCACTGCTAACATTTCTTAGCTTCTTGCTACAGTCATCTTCCTAAAATGACTCAAGTGAGAAAAAAAAAAGTTTTACCAGATAAGCAACAATTCTTACTGTATTGGGGAGAAGTTCCCACACTCCCCATCTATGTAATAGATGCGACTTCTTCAGGCTTTTAAACCCAGCATGTCAAAGCACCCAGAAGAATCCTACCTTGCCCACGTACTGATAATCTGATCCAGTGTATTCCTCCAGGAGAAAGAACTGGTTCCACATCCAGCTCCTTTTTGAACGGGTCAGCTCATTTTTACTGTTTCCAGAGAGCTCCAGGGCCCTTTTCTTTGCCGGGAAACCACTAGTCCTCTTAGATAATGGAGATGAGAAAGTTGGGTAGGGCTGACCGACCCAAAAGAGCAGCAAGAAGTACCGGTAAGTTCTCATGATGGCCTGCCGGTAAGTCTCTGGGTAGTGAGTTCCTCTCTCCTTGAAGTGCTCTTTTTACTGCACAGTAACCCGCCTCATTCCTCCTTTCTTCCTTAATGTTCTCTGCTTGGCTCTCAGAGGATATCTGGAAAGAATAATAACATATCCAGCATTTTTAGAGATGCTTAAAATTCAGCGTTAGAGCAAATAGGCTGGAAAAAGAGGACAGAAATTTGAATACCAAAACAACAAAAAAAAGTTGGCTATCAATTTTGAAATGAGGAAAACGATCTTTTAGATATGCTGAATGGAGGCACGTGCTAGGTAGAGAGCTGCTGTTTTCCTTTCTCCTTTTCTATCACTTAAAAATCCTACTTTAAGTAATAGCATTGCTATAGGTCAACATGGCAAAATGGATTACTTCACAACTCTTTTTCCTCGGAATACGTGGGCTGAGATCTGGTTAGAAGAAACGAGTTTGTGTTTCTGATTCTATTTGCATATTTATCCCCATGAACAAGTCTAAGGCAAAGAATATCACTGACAATTTAAATCCAATTGAAAGTGGTTAATGTTGAAATTTCGCTAGAATGTATGGAGCACCTGTGCTGTGCCAGGCATGAGTCAAGGCAGAGCTTGTTCTGCAGAATCTTGGCTTCAGAGATGTGCTATGCTGGAACAGCTGGGGTCAAATAAGGTTAGAAAAGACCATACGCCTTCTCTTTAGAATGCAGATTCATGTACTGAAATTTCTGAAGTGAAATAAGCCTATATTTAATCAGGCATTCTCCAAATTTGACCTGAAAACTTTTTTGTTCACTCATGAGACCTACTTACACTATAGGATGGCTCAATAAATAAGCTACAGAATTTTTAAAAGCCCATAAGAAGTAAATGGGGGCAATTCTATTCAAATTTCTTCAGGAAATCCTGGGATTTTTATCTCTACATTTCACTAGTGCTGCAGGCAATCAAGCATGTATGTTAAAATTGGTCAAACAGTTTCTATGTAATTTTCATAGGTGCATTAAGCATATCTAACTATCACAGTGAGGACACTGACTGCAAGATCTTCAGAAAAGTCAGCTATTATACATGTGCGTAATAATTTTCCATGGCAAATATTAATTTTCAAGAACACATCCTACCATTTAAAAATTCCTGGAGACAGATTGCTTAGCAAAGATGTCCCAACTTGGTTTACTAGCTTATGCAATTAAAATCATATATGCCTTCATATCCTTCCTAAATGTTTCTATATTTCTTAAAAAAAAACCCAACAAATTACTCCTTTATCTTATTATTTGATGCAGGGAAAATATTTTCTTGAATAATATTAGCAACAACTTTTAGCGAGTGCTTTGTAATGTAGAACATAGTAATAATTGAACTGGCATATTCACTGTTATCACACAGGTAAAGAAATATGTTTTAGGTAATATCTGTCAGAAAAGATTGGCTCACTCAGTTCCTATTATTCTGTCACATAAATGTATATGTGACCAGGATTTTTGGTTTTCACCCCAGCAATGAGTA